TCCTGCCATTGCTTTCAGTGTTCTCTGTAGCATTATTCCGCTGTTCTAACAACTCTGCACTGTCTCGTCGTGTTGTAGGGCTACTCTGATCTACAATATTTCTTGTAATTGGTTGCCGTGGACATGCAATGTGTCTAGGAGTTCGTGATAGGTTATTTAGTCTGACTGTTTCTGTCGCATTCTCTGATTGGTTGGTTCTAAGAGTGGCACATTGTAAACCATCCAATAATGGGAATGCACTATTTGTTGATGAATTACGTCCACAGCGGTTGCCATGATAACCTGGAAATGTCTGTGTTGACCACAGCCCCCCTGTGGTATCTTCTGTCGGTGAATACGGTGGGGGTTCCTCAACATAACTAGGAGCTGTTATTGGATATGAGGGTGTTGGTTCATATGGATACGAAAGCGGCATCTGAAATGCATAAATATCACGCATATTGACGAAAACTTCATCACTACCAGGAACTGTATACACGGGTAACATGCTCCCATCGTAGGCTGGCACAAATCTTTCTTGCAGGGGATTTGGTTCACTAATACGATTCCTACTACGAGGTCTTCTCTGTCTTCGCACATCATCAACTACTGAATTACTTGCACTTCTCCGTACATTCCGTCTTTCATTTCGTGGCTGTTGAAGTCCAACTAGGGTGCTAAAGTTAACTCGATCTGCATTGTCGTTTTGTATTGGATGAACACGTCTTTCGAATACTTGAGAATGTGGCCTTGTGACTGCAGAACGTGTTCGAGACTCCCTGTTCAGTGTCGTCGTTTCCTCGGATTCTACACTTGTGCTATTTTGTGTCAATTGTGGTTGCGCCATTGAAATATTTTCTCTTCTACTTGTCTCGTTTGACCCACTGGCCTCTGACCTTCCATTTGACCTCTGCATAGTTGTCATAACAACTGATTCATACTGCGGCAACACATTGCTGTGATTTTCATGTTCAATATCACTACTGAGAAGACACGTATTGTCGCGTTCACGTAAGTAGCTAGCATATGGAGGTCGCAAAAAATTATGTCCTTGTCGCCGACCCAAAGTGTAGGAATGATTTCCTGGTGAGAAAAGAGTAAAAATTAAATAAAATTTGCTAAAGAATAGGTTTAGTCACGTACATCTTTTTAAACCTGTGACTCAAAAATTTTTTTGTTGTTGCAACATTGCATATTGGTGCACCATGCATGACAGATTTGAAAAATGTTTGTTTTCTGTGTCAGAGAAAGATTTTTACCCAAATACACTTTTTATTCATGTAGTCAAAAGCACTATTTAGAAATGTTAATCGTTGAACATATATATTACTGTAATGGTATTGAATAAATCTTATTCTGAAAAAAAATACTTTTTTTCCCAAAAGTAGAAGTTGTGTACCATAAAATATTTTATTTTAGCTAAAGTTATTTTTTGACAAAATGACTTTTTGGGTGTTTTGTATGGAATTTATTTTCACTAATTTTTGGCAAGTTGAATGTACAAGCAGCCTGTTGGCTGAGATAGCTCTGCTGTTAGCAATGCACATTGCAGTTAAAGAACAAAAGATATCATTAGAAAATGAACAATATGTATAGTATTAAAGCAATGGGACTTGCCGTTTTCAACAAAAATTCAAAAATATCACTTTTCACCAAAAGTGACAAAAATATTCATCAAAATTATGTAATTGAAGATATCACCACTAAATGAACAAATCTGAAAGAGGTGCACATGTAGTACCTATATATGTAATATCAAAGCAATTGGACTTGCGGTTTTCAACAAGAAGTTGAAAATATCACTTTTTACCAAAAATGACAAAAATATTCACCAAAATTAGAGAATTAAAGATATAATTACAAAATTAACAAATCAGAGAGAGGTACACATGTAGTACCTATATATGTACTATCAAAGCAATTGGACTTGCGGTTTTTAACAAGAAGTCGAAAATATCACATTTTACCAAAAATGACAAAAATATTCACCAAAATTAGAGAATTAAAGATATCATCATGAAATGAACAAATCAGAGTTAGAACCACATGTAGTACCTACATATGTAATATCAAAGCAATTGGACTTGTGGTTTTCAACAAGAAGTTGAAAATATCACTTTTTACCAAAAATGACAAAAATATTCACCAAAATTAGAGAATTAAAGATATAATTACAAAATGAACAAATCTGAGAGAGGTCCACATGTAGTACCTATATATGTAATATCAAAGCAATTGGACTTGCGGTTTTTAACAAGAAGTCGAAAATATCACATTTTACCAAAAATGACAAAAATATTCACCAAAATTAGAGAATTGAAGATATCATCATGAAATGAACAAATCTGAATATCACATTTTACCAAAAATGACAAAAATATTCACCAAAATTAGAGAATTGAAGATATCATGAAATGAACAAACCTAAGAGAGGTCTACCCAAGGTACATATACACCAAGTATCAAAAAGCATTCAGGGTTGTAGTATTCAAGAAGAAGTCGAAAAAGTAAAACATTGACACGGATGACGGACGTCGACGGACAATCACTCATATGATAAGCTCAGCTCGACAAAGTTGACAGCGAAGCTAAAAAAGGTATATTTGTGGATTTTATTTTCACTGAATAATTCATTCAGCGAAAATAGCAAAAAATAATTCCAAGCGAAAATATTTTACAGTAAATAAACAAATCAGTGAAAAATAAATGCTGACATAGTGTGTTTTTTTCAAATTATGACTCAATCTACACTGGGATATGAAGATAATGAATACTGTGATCTGATCGGTGGAAATTATCCAGCCATGATGTAGAAATAAACTATAAACAAAATTGCATATGACTGACCAGGTATAAGAATTCTCCGACTGAACGTTCTCCCAATAGCTGAACTCGTAACACTTGGATCGTCAGATAATGCGTCTATTTCATGATGTACCTGTTTGAAATAAATATCAAATTAACGATAGACATGCCTGACTTTTCAGAAATTTGGTAAGAGAAGTTATTTTCCTGTGACTTATAATTTTAAATTTTTAAAAATAAACATAAGGTATTTTCATAATCATAAATGACATACATAATGAATTTATATGCTGAAAATGAGAAGAGAAATCTGTCTAAATGTCTCATATTAGTAAAAAGATCAATGTCGGATAAAAAACTTAATTCTTTTAGTTTTTTCCCAAAACCCCCCACCCCCCACTGAAACTTAATTGATAAATATTGATCGTGGCATCAGACTACATTAACTATTAAATACAAATTGATAATCGGACAGTAGTATGGCATAGTTGGTTGTAATAATGAAGCGGAATATACGCATGCGAAAACTAATTTTCAGGGTTCTGCGCATGCTCTAGTTTCATGACCTGAAATTGACCTCATTTGACGCACATATTTACACTCAGACCAAACCATTTTCTCGTCTTGGATGTTTTTTTCATTTTCTGATATTTTTGTCAATGATCCCACCCCCACACTAAAGCAAATACGTTTTTTATCCGACATCGATCTTTTGACCTCGTCCCTAACGTAAAGTACATTTGGGGCATATCTTCCAACTTCCAAGCAAGTTAGTTCTGCTAGTATAAAATATTTCAAGATATTTCTTTGTAATATTTACCAACATTATTTATATAAGACAGATTAATTACTTGATCTGCATAATTTACATATGTGGCAGTTTCAAAGCAATCCGAGCTAGCTTTACAATACCCCCCCCCCCCCCCCCCGGTATACCGTGACTGTAGTATAAGTATAGATACTACAAAAAATAAGTTACCGGTAAAAATAATGACGGCAATAATACTCATTTTAAAATTTTATAGTAAAAAAGCCTGATGAGAGTCAGCATGGGAGTTAAGTTACATGCCTGGACTAGTATTAGTTGATTTTCGGTTCAACTGAGAAATCACACATATTGCCGAAACATTTTTTTTTTCATAGCTCAAATTTGAAAGGCCGATCTTTGACAGATATTGAATACCCTTAACTTCATCAAAATTGACAATCATCAAATGCACAGTATTAAGCGTGGAAATATCCCCCAAAAATATGTTTGTGTTTGTCGAATCCCACGCGATGTTTGACGCCACCACAATGCTATGACCTTTGTTTGTCCTGTTTTTGCATTCGATTTTATGCATAAAGTGGAATCTTACAGTGAACGGAAAACTGTCTATTTAGCTGGCAATGTTGACAGAAATTGTTAAAACTTACATAGTGTTTTGTAGCTTGGTGTTCACTGCAGAGCAGCAATATAGTAAATACCATAGCCATTAAAGATGATAGCGTGCCTATAGCGTAGACAACACACTGGTGTAGGTGATATCTAGTATGCCGTGGAGATCAACGAACACTGCAACGTGCCATGAAATGTCACTTGTTCACTTCCTAATAGAAATAAACAGCAACATATATATAATACAAAGTCATATATTTGTTAATATTGTTGTCCTATATGTACTTAATAATCAAATTTGTATTTGCAGGACACACAATAATATTCATTTAAAGCGGGGGAGTCTTCACCTGCACATGCGTCAGATGGCCATAGCGTGTCATTATTTACAAACAAGCGTCTACCCATGAGCCTTTGAGCTTTTAGCATGTGAAGTTATCGTCGCTTGGGACTCAATTCCAGCGTGTGCACAGGTGACGACCCTCCCACCCACTTTAACAGATAACAAATCAAAACTGCTAACAGATGTACACACATGATTGTTATTGTACATATGCATATGAATACGGCATGAAACTAAAATAAATAGACAAGTTGTGAAACACATTTTTCAGATTTCTACAAATCAGAAAAAAATACAATCTTTCACAGCCAAACAATCCATTGGGATAATATTAAGCCAACCGTTTGTCCTTTTATGTGGAAAAATCACTTGCATACGAACGCCTAATTACACAAAGAACATAGAACACTTTCCTGGGGTATTTGAAACCGAAAATTGTCATTCCAACTCGGCAGCAAATCAGCAACGGCCTTACAGTTTAGAAGACAATTTTGGTTAGATGACAGTTAGATGACAACCTGAAAAAAACGCACAACTAGTCTATTTATTCAGTTTCATGCCGTATTCAAGATGCCTGTCCCCATATAGTAAATATTGTGTGCCAGCTGACTGTGCTTAAAATTTAAGTTAGGCCCAGACTTTACAGAGTACCACTTTAAAGTTGAATCTCACCTCCAGCGTCTAGAATACTTGACGACGAATTCTGATGCGGCGTGTGATTCTCAATAACATAACACTGACATTCTTTGAGAGTTTTTCTACTAACGCAGTGTGTGAAACTCTCTAGGAATGGAATAACTTGTACAGCCAACAGTGCTGCACTGGATAGACATAGGGATATGCAAACCACTGTCAGTAAAAGAGAAACAGCAATCTGAAAAAGAAGAATCAAGAAGAAGAGTGTTAAAACTTTCTTTTTTTTCAAAGTGTTTTTTACCAGGTGACATTTCCAAACTAAGAATTAAGTCACTGCAACTCTCCTGATGTTTGGAAAGCCAGGCACTCTGCTAAGTAAACAGTCTGCTCAGGAAATCAAACCCAGAATCTTTCTGATGTGAAGCGCGTACACTTACCAATGAAGTACAATCAGTCAGTGTTTAGTAAATATTTCGTAATGATTTTCACTCTACACATTGTAAACCATTACTGCTACAAATTTTGTGAATTGAAAATTTAAAGGCACTACTCATGGCGTAATATGATTAATTATTATAAAGTCAGACAAACAAACTAGAATAACAACACTTGTTTTGTTTAAATAATTTCACAGAATGTCTGTAAACTGCATAGAATTCACAATGAACCACTGAAAAGCCACACTGAATATTGTTGTGACCTCTGATTATCCTTTGTTTTTAAACTTATTTTGTTTATGAAATGTGAATTTCAGTTTACCAAATTACAAATTTTATAACTATGGTAAAATGTTTTTCATGATTACTATATCTATGTATGTATTTTATGTTGCGTCAATGACACACAAGTGAATTAGCATAATTTGTTGCGTCACAGCATATCTTTTTGTGTCAGTGGTTAGCAGGGTGTTAGCCAGCCACCACTCCACCCACCAAACAGACTGGCAACTTTTTCACATTTTTTGTTTTTTTTCTATTGTTCTTACATAGTTTTACCAATTTGAAAATATATTGAATCTACATTTTCATGAAGTTGAATTGTTTTGGACTTGTAGTTGCAAATTCCTGGTCAATAGCCTGAGGGTTAAAGGCATGATACCATGTTTATGCCTTATTATTGGACTACTGTAAA